AAAAAAAATCCATTTTGGTAAAGACATAGCCTTTGTTAAAGCACTTTATTGTATTATTTTATATATATTGAATATACAAATCAATCCCAACCTCCTATTGAGTTCAAGAAGTTCAACTGGTAAATAAGTATAGGTTAATGCCAGTTTAACCTACAGTGGATGATCATGGTTTATTAAGGAATTTTGCTCCTTGGTGAATAAATCATCATAAAGCTTCTTGAAGGTGCCCTGCTGTATTGCTAATCACTAGGATTGTGCAGGGCTTCAGATAAAAAAGTAAAAACATATTACAGAGCATGTGGAGGTCAGGCATAAGCCTTGTCTGCCACTTCCTAAATTTGATTTTTTTTTAAAAAAAAATGTGATTGCATGATGGCTGAGGAAGTCAGCCAGATACATCTGGAAATGCTCTATTTGGCTTAAAAGAGTGGAAAATGTGCTACATTCACAGTGCCCCCAAATAATATTTTTATGCTTTTGAATTGGAAGACTTGCACAGCCTTACTGTTTATATAGGTACTCTTTTCCAATTGCTTTCTTGTCTGTATAAATATATGCTTGTTCCACACTAATGTTTTAGAGCCCATTCAGAAGTTGTGAAGAGCCTGTCTGTTTTCTAAGGAACTTATATGAAAGTCTGTGCTATTCTATGCTATGCAGGTTTAATTCTACAGTTAAATACCGATGTACTTTCTCTCTTTGTAGCTCCCTAACCATATTTGTCAATTTAGGAAACTGGTAAGATTAGGCTACTGCAGGAAAGACGATTTCTTCATAATTGAACTGAAAGAACTTTAGAACAGGCTGCGTGATCTACCATCTGATATTAAAAGTGCAATGTACTCTAGAGCATTGGATCATATAATTGGGGCCAAATTCCTATAGTTATCAGATAACCCATAATAAAGTTAAGATATCATCAGATACAGACACTACTAATTCTGCTGCCTCCCGGTGATTGATTTTATTTTTTCAGCCTCACATTCAACATTAATAAGCATAGCATTAAAAAAAAAAAAAGATCTGGAAATGTTATGAAATGGAAAACCTGGAAACTTTTAATCTTTCTTTTCAGAATGTTCTAGTGGTGATGGGAGCAAACATGTTAGGAAAGTTGTGACTACATCAGCATCCCTATCATAAATCTTCCCCGTCCACCTCCAGTTGAATTCTTATGGATTTTCCAGTTGTTGGAGCTGGATTTGGTCATCATAATTCAGCTGTGTTAGGAAAGAAACTGAAGGTTCCCGCCTACAATTTTTGGATGCTTGAAAAAGTGGGTCCTTTATCAAACTAGGGATAGTGAAATTTTCTGAAATAGCTGTACAAGTAGTCCTCAACTTACAACAGTTCATTTAGTGACCAAAGTTACGCCACTGAAAAAAGTGATTTAACACTTTCACACTTAACAACCATTGCAGCATCCCTATAGTCATGTGATCAAAATTTGGATGGTTGTCAATTGACTCATATTTATGATGGTTGGGGTATCCTGGGGGAGGGGTGTGGTGATTTCTTTTTGTGACCTGAGAAGCCAAGATTCATTTAACTTGTGTTGCTAACTTAACAACTGCAGTGATTCACTTAACAACGGTGGCAAGAAAGGTCGTAGAAATGGGGCCACATTCACTTAACAAACGTCTCACTTCGGTGCAGAAACGTTGCCCTCAATTGTGACGGTACGTCGAGGACTATCCGTGTTGCATAAACCATGTTTTTCGCCATAAGAACGGGCGTGACTAACATGTTAATTTCCGAGAAGAAAAGGCGTCGGGACAAAATGAAGAAAAAAATAAAATACACACACGCCGCTTCGGGTGGAATCCCGAACGAAACTCTTGCGAAGAAGCCTTGGCGTCTTTTGCTGAGGGCCGGAGTCCGATTACAAAAGCCCTTCGCTTCACATCTTTGCCCAGAGCCGAGTGGGAGGAGTCGGAGTACAAAACGCGACCGCAGAGCCGCGGACTTCCACCCCCTCTCCTTCTCGGCGATGGCCATGAGCGTAGCTGCTCTTGTTTCTACTTTCCTGGGTTGCTCGGTAGCGACTCTCCTGCTGCTGAAATGGCGGAGGAGGCGGCAGGTCCAGGACAAGATAGCGAAGGCCAGGAGCCGGCGGGAGGGCGCCTTCCAGCAAATGGAAAGAGCCGTTCAGCGCTTCCAAGAACAGGTCAGGGAAGAAGCCGTGGGTTGTTTTGTGTGTGTGTGTGTGTGTCCCCCAGATCTGCTGGCTTGAGAAGGTCTGTGCAATGAGCGAACCATCCCCACGCTCAAAGCCGTAGGAGAGGCAAGAGAGATAAGCTTCGAAATGGGGATAGACTTCAATCTATCCAAAGGTTTACTTTCCTTCTAAGCTTGCAGTCTTTTCTAAAGGAACGTAGCTCCTTGGTTTGTTTGTTTTTTTCATTCCACGTTTAAGGAAAAAAAAAAAACACGTCTATCTGGAAATAAGATGGCTATCCTGGTTGATGCAACCGGTGCAGACTTGAAATAATAAGTCAATCAGATTCGAACGTGATTCGATCAAATTCCAATTTCTGTTTCTCACAGGAAGGTTCAGTAGGGCAAATAGATTTAACACAAAACCACCTGGGTCAGCAGGTTTGTGTGCCACTCCGCGGCTTTATGCTATATAGACTATTTTAGCAAGACTCCCGGAGGGCAGCGAATAACTGAAAGAGAAGTCGAGTATTGTATCTGGATTCTGGAGATTTAAAGTCTGCTCTCTGAATTCAGTTTGACATTCTGTGTTACTGGAGATCACAATATTAAAGGCAGGTGAGGTGGAGAAGTTAGGAGGTTTTGATATGCACGTGGTTGACAAGTACATTTTTATTTTTTGTTCAATTTATATGGGCACATATTTCAAACTGATGACTGGGTGGGTGGGTAACAATGCTTAAAATGAGATTAAAATAAATATATTAGAATGGCCTTGTCTAATAAAACAGTTCTATTTTGTGGTTTAGCCCAGGGGTCACCAACCTTTTGGACCTCAGGGACCACCAAACTCATAATTTTAGATCCCAGGGACCACTAACCGGTTCTGTGGGCGTGGTCTAATTTGTGGATGTGGCTTGGTCATGTGACTGGCTGGGAATGGCTTGTATGTAAATATTATAAATATTTATATAAATATTGATTTTTTTTACAAAAAAAGAGCAACTTTTACCCAAAATCAGGCAAAGCAGGCAGGCAGATTGAGTTGCTCACAGAATCACAGATTCATTCAGAAATCTATCTGCCATTAGCTAACTCAATCTGTCACATAAAGTCATAAAATTTGCTAGCAAGAAACTCACAAAATTAACTCACAGCACACCATGCATGTAAATATTGAATTTTTTATTTAAAAAAGAGCAACTTTTACCGAAAATCAGGCAAAGCAGGCAGATTGAGTTGCTCACAGAATCATTCAGTAATCTATCTATCTGCCATCGGCTAGCTCAGTGTCTCAAATTTGCTTGCTGTGAGTCTGCACTGAATTTGCTTGCAAGCAAACCTTCAGTCCTAAAGGAGGCAGAGCCAAAGATCTAAAGACTAGCTAGAAAGCAAGAAATCCAACCATTTCCTGCTTCCTAGGTAATCTAAATCTCCCGGCACAGCAGAACAGATGACTGTCAGAAAAAGGAAAAATAGCAATTTAGCAGGCAAGTTTACCGGGTAAGGAGTGAGTGGGTGGGGAGCGTTCCTGTGGGCCATGTGGGCGGCGCAGCCTTGTGTTTCTGCACAACCTGGATTAATTGCTTTGTGGGGGTGCTCTTGGGGTGAGATTTCTCTGGCCCACCAAAATTTTTCTCAAGGCCCACTGGTTGGCGACCTCTGGTTTAGCTGATTAGTCACGGGATGCATAATTAGAAACTTGCTCACGCTTGTGTATTTCATCACACAGTCAAGGATTTGTCTGTTTTCATCTTCATAATTAAAATGAAATCCGAAAGCAACCCTTGTGAAGTGACTTGTGTTAACCCGTTCAACAGTGTAATCTAGCATATTGATTTATTTAAACATTTATATAGTCACCCATCTTCTAAAAAAACTGGGCAGCTCCCAATCAAAAGTTGAAACCACATGTATATTCCCAGAAGTATATCCCATTGAATTAAGTAAAATTTACTTCTAACAAATACGTTAATCATGCTTCTATGGCTGCTGCCCATCTCACAGGAAGCAAGTCTAGGTGAATGAGTAAATGAATAAAACAAATATAAAAGCCAATCATTATAAAAAAATATGAAAGTCATGGTAAACATGAAAAACACTATATAAAAATGTGAACTGTATGAACCGCATGGAGAGAGTAAAAAGATCAACCATAATGGAGCCATCAAAGCATGACTCTGGTTCCTTGGGACTCCCAGGTCTTGAGGAACTTCCAAAATGATAATCTAGCTCCAGGCAGGAGGAGAGGAAGAAAATGTGTAGGTTTGCTGGCTATAGAACTCCAAAACCATTAGCTTGCACTTAATAATTCTGGGTAGATTTTATTGATGGAACTATTTAAATGTATTTTTACTCTGAATATTTATCCATGTAATCATCATTGACTCCATTTCTTGATACATTTGCTGTATTTACTTTTTCTTAGACAGGACATTTAGCGACCGTTCGAAGTTATGACAAATGCCCCCCAAAGCTACTTGTGACCTGGCTTTAAAGTTATAGATGCTATAGCACCCTTGCAATCATTCACCCACCCATCCTATCCCACTGAGCCCCTGCAGCCAGTCATCCTCCCAAGGCAGATCAACTGGTTGTAGCCGGCTAGAGCTTGCAAGCCTCCAGCTTCTTTCTCACCTAGCAGAGGCCAACATACTTTTCCATTCTTAGCAGCTTCTGAGAGAGGTACTGGGCCCAGTATAGGATTGGCTTTCTGACAGAGCCAGCCTGCAAAGCAGGTATTGTTCTTGTGAACCTGTAGAAGCTCCACAAATGTCCCAAAGATGTTTTTTTTTTTCCCCAAAAGGCAACTGGACTTTGTTTTTCCTTGAAGATGTTTCACTTTTCATCTAAGAACCATCTTCTTGGATGAGAAGAAGCTTCATGGATGAGAAATGAAACATCTTCAAGGAAAAACAAAATCCAGTTGTCTTTTGAAAAAAAAGAATCTTTGGGACAACCATGCCCTGGATGACTGAGAATCTTTATAAACATTCCCCAAACAAATGGAGCCGCCTTAAACCTCCTTAATCCCCACAGTCACAGGATCAAACAAATGGAGTCCCTTTCCCTTTCCCCTCCCTTACCAATAGACAGTAAGCAGTTGCTGCTGGGTGAGAGAGGGAGCAAAGGATTGTGAGACTGGCTGGGAAACTGTCATGGAACATTGAAAATGAAGATCATGTGACTGCACCAGCAACCAGTAAGCAATTACAGCTTCCCCAATTTTTAATACCTCGGGAATCATGGGTCCTAGATTTTGGATACATTCTGTAAGTTAACTCATTTGAGGTACCATGTTTCAAAAATAGTTGCTCTATGGTGCATCATTTCGCCCAAGTCCATAACAAGAGATTTAGTAACATATAGATAAGCTGATGGTAATATATTAATACTTTTCTAATTATCCTGTGTTTAATCACTTTCAAAAATGTAGCTGAGCAAGAGTCACATTAATATTTTTTCTGAAACACAGATTTTATATGTATAAGGTTGACTCTGCTTAGCATTGTTTTTAATATGGATCAGAGCATCAATTATAGGACTGATTAGTTTATACTAGACTAGCCTTCAGCTATATTGCAAAAATGCTAAATGTTTAGATTATAGGTGTATCTAAAAGAAGCAGTGTTTTATTATATATGGGAATTTTTTTCTCTTTCAGAATCCAAATCATCAACCAGAACCTATTTTATCACTGAGTTTGCCTGAACTCTGTCAGCAACTTGGGGATGGTTCACTCACACCTGAGAGTGTTTTCTACACCTATGTGGATAAGGTGAGGCATCATTCCCTAAGCTAACAAAAATGAGAAATATGTGTAGGGTAGGATTATTATGATTCAAGCTGAATTTTTCCTGAGGATCCATAAACATTTTTTTTAAAGTAGATTTGAAAATTGTTTTAAGAATCTGCATTTTTCTTGTGGGTCACATATTCCTATGGCATCTTCTTTCCTGTTGCTGTTATAAGAGTCTCAATAGTGTTAGCAAATTTCATCTCTCTTGCATAGAAAGCATTTTGTCAGTGTAGCAAGAAACTTCATAAACAGATTCTCCAGCTAATTATTCAGAAAAAAAAACCACCCATTGAGTTCAGCGGTTAATACTCCAAGGTAGGTGTATATAGTTTGATTCCCCAAAAAGCCAACATCAGATAATCTTTTCAAGTCTTAAATCTATGAATCGAGAAATAATTTGATAATAAATACATAGAAGTGAAACGTCTAGTAAGGAAGAACAAATTGGCCTATACCAGAAATAGATCCAAAGAAGCAATAGGACCTACCTGTCCTTCAGCTGAGTGAAAATTGGTTTTAGTGTTTAGTATTTATTTAGTATTTGAGACCAACAGGAAAACCTAGGGCTGTAAGCTAGTTTGGCAAGTTGAAAAAATACCCTAGAACAGGGATATCAAACTCAATTTCATTGAGGGCCGCATCCAGGTTTTGTTTGACATTGGGGAGGGCTGGGGGGAGTGTGGCCTGCTCAACATCACCACTTGTGTTGGCCCGAGCGTTCTGCCAGAGAAAACGGGCTCCTGAGCTCCATTTTCAGCTGTGACGGCCTCCTGCAACCTTCTGCCAGCGAAAACTGAGCGCAGGAGGGCCGCTTCCTGAGTTCCATTTTCTCTGGCAAATGCATGGCGGGTTGGTCCTTCTCTGTTTCCAGGGCAGCCCCACGGGCCAGATCTAAGCACCCTACGGACTGGATCCGGACCCCGGGCCTTGAGTTTGACACCCGTGCCCTAGAAGAAGACAGTAGTAATATTCCATATTGTTACCAAAACCAGCTATTAAGCACTAAGAGCTGACTCTGATTCAAAGAGTCATTCAGTCAATTTTTCCTCAGCCTCTTGACCATAAGAGAGAAGTGTGAAGCAAGAATCATAGTCTTTATTTATTTATTTTTACCCTCTGGGACTGATATATATCTGCTGGGTTAAAAGTTTTACCCAGGAATATTCAGAACCTACTTAGCTTCTACATTGGGGCTGTCTCCATCCAGTCTTACCATTTATTTGTTTGCTTGTTTGTTTGTTTATTGAATTTATATTGCCACCTATTCACCCATGGCGAATAGATCTTTAGATATGAGAATTGTTGACATTGAACAATAATTCCCATGTAGAAGAGATTTAGTTATCTTTTTGAGAAAAATAAAAGGGTAATACCACTCGTAGGAGAAAATAAAGAGGTAGAGGAAGCAATTATTTTTAGACATGAGGTAGTTTAGTAGCCCAAATAGACTTGCCTTCAAGTTTCCTTTTTTTTCTCTCCTCTTTGCAAAGGTAGGCTTTACATGAGAAATAAAGAGACTGTCTTTCCCTGCTTTTTCTAGGCCCTGAAAGTGACTGCAGTTGTCAATTGCATAACTGATTACATAGCAGAGAATGAATCCCAGCTTCGGCATATGAACAGCGAAGGGGAAAAGGGCTTGCTCTATGGAGTTCCCATCAGCATAAAGGATTCCATTAACTGCAAGGTATAGCTGGGGTGGGCCTTGGGTGAATATGCAGAGCTCTTTTGTGGCTAAAAAACAGGTGGATGTGCAACTTGTATTACATTATATAATAAAGAGCATCTTGGCTTTGGGTTTGAATTGCTTCTAGCAGGTGCCTACACATTACAAGTGTCAAACATGCTGTCTCATGTTGCCATCAAGTGACATATCGCGATGTTTTTTCCCTTCGCAAAGCTGGGGTGTGCGTGGCCCACATGTGATGCATCTGGCCCACCGGGCCGCCAGTTTGACACCCCTGGTATACATGTTAGTTAATATGAGATCATCTTTTCATCTGCCTGTATCTAATAGCTCAAGTCACTTAATGCTGAACCCTGCTCTCTCTTACAAAATCTTTATTTTATTTATTTATTCGTTACATTTTTATGTTGCCCATTTCTCCTCTAAGGTGACTGTGTCCAGTTTAAACCCTTTGTAACAAGGCCTGGAGCAGGGTGATATGTGAGCCTGCACACTGTAATGCACAAGTTGTTTTTTTTAATTCCAATTGTTGGTTTCTTGTATGGCTTTGGAGGGGCGGGTTTAAATTTGTGAGTGTTACCTTGAAAGTTTAGGCAGCTTTTAAGTCAAATAAATAAGCAAAAATCCATGTTGTGTGGGAAACCAGCTGTATCTTAAAAATGTGCAGGAAAATGTGTTTAGATCTGTGATAACCAAAATAAAATTTATCTTATGCTAAGGCATATTTCACAGCAATCTTAACATTGATTGTTGTCTGCTAAAACAAAGTTATCTGATACCAACTGTGTTACCATATTGTATTACATAATGTTTTGCTTAATTGTGATTTTTTTTAAAAAAGATTTTTTTTAAAAAAAGCATTAAAATACAAACTAATATAAAAGGGGGGATAATAGAACAAGTTAAAAATAACAAAAATCCATAAAACAAATATATAACATAAGTGACCTCTTGACTTTTTCCAGTAAAGAAATAATAATACAATAGCCCCTCTCTAATGAATAATACCAATACTTAAAATGGCTTATAAAATTAATATTCAACATACAAAAAATACAATAGTCATAATATATTCTTCACTTAATTTTTTTTCTAACTTATAATAAACTGACAAATATGAATAAAATTAAGAATTCTCAATATTTTTCTAGTCAAATGAAATCTCGTCCTCAAAACCCAAGGTCAAAATCTGATTTTTCTCCTTGTCTTGTAAGAAATCTAACGGTGGCCTCCAAGTTGCAAGAAAGTTAGTCAAGTTATTTTTCCTAATTAAAGAAGTCAAGTTCTCAATCTAGCTAGTTCCATTAATTTCAAAGACTAATCTTCAATTGTGGGTATGTGTTTCTCTTTCCACTTTTGTATAGCGGCCTTGCAGCCAATGTCATATGTTAGAACAAAGCCCCATGTTTTCTCCCCCCACCATGCTGTTTATCTGCCATCCCTAAAAGCTTGTGGTTTCATGAAATGGGTGGAGACATATAATTTAAATTGGAAGCCATGGTTTAAAAACCACAGTGTCTTGCATCATATAACCCTATCACATCAAAACCAAACTGGCTCAGCGTGATGTTGTAAAATTCAGTTATGGTATACTGTTAATTGATCTAGTTTTCTCTGGGCAGTTCTTTTGCTGTTCAGGATTTCAGGGAGGAATTTTTTATCAAGAATTTATCCTTAGACCTTCTGTATAATAATAATCTTAAATGTTCCACAGGGGAACTAATAAATATATTGCCAATTTGTTGCTGTTTTTTAACATCTTAAACCCAGCATCACTGAATGATATCTGATGTTTCTATGGGGAACTCAAATTTCCTTTTCATCTTTCTATCGTTTTTCCTCACCACAGGGCTATGACAGTACTTTGGGCTTTACAAAGCGTCTCTTCCAGCCAGCAGCAGAAGACGCTGTTATAGTGCAGGTGTTGAAACATCAAGGAGCAATTCCATTTGTAAAAACAAATATTCCCCAATCGCTGTTGAAGTAAATCATGTATTATTATTATTATTTTTGCCATTGTTTTTTGTTTTGGTTTTTATATACAGGTAATCCTTGACTTAAGACTATTGATTCAAGCAATCATTTGAATTTACAGCGGCACTGAAGGAAGGGGTTTCCCACTAAGAAAATCATTTGAAGTTACAGCTGTTGCTGTGCTCTTGTGGTCTTGTAATCAAAGTTCAGGCGTTTGGCAGCTCACCTGCATTTACAGTTCCAGGAGTTTCAACTCTTTCTCACCTTCCCTGTCTTCCCCCTCCCTTTTGGGCTCCTGACCCCCTGGCTGACCTTTGCCATCTTCTTCCTCTGCTGCTAACCAAGTAAGCTGCCACATGCGCTCCTGGGTTTGGCTTATGGTCACTCACTCACACAGTCCTGATCAACAGCTATATTCAAGTCACGTTCATACATGAGCATTGAAGCACAACAGGTTATTTGGAATACAGTGAGACCCAGTGAATTTAAAATAAAAGTAAAACTTTCTTAGTAGCAATATGTTTGCCCTTTCTCTCTCATGCAGTCCTACACACCTACACCTATCCATGTCCTTCTCAACTAGGCTGCCAGGCACTAGCTGGAGGGATGGAAGCCACCAAATCTTGGATCCAAAGGCAAAGAGTGGGTGGGCTTCAGGGCCACCTTTGTCCCGATAAGTCCTTTGTTGATTCACAAATTGGCAGCCACTTTTGCCTTGTTGATTTACAAGCCTGGTACCTGTTGATGGCACTTGGGCTCAGGGGAGAGGAGCATTTCCATGTAGTGAGGCTCAACTTGTTTTGCCTGGTTCAGGTGATATTCTTTTATTACTTTATAACAATTTCATTCTTTCTTGTCCGTCTCCCAAAGAGATCTTTTGGACAAGATTCCTGGCTTTTTGTCCACCCTGCTTCACCTTTAGATAAGACAGCTTCAGCCTCATCTTACATATTCCTCCCCTAGGCATCCCCTAGACCAGTGGCCCCCAACCTTTTTTGTGCCACGGCCCGGTACCGGCATCACAAAATGATCTGCGGCCCGGTACTGGCATCAGCACGCATGACAAGGCAAGGCGAGCTGAGCGACCGGCCAGCCAGCCGTCCCCCGCTTCTCCCCGCCACCTTCAACTCCACCTTTGTCGATGGGCTTCGCTTCGGGACGGTCGCTCGGCTCGCCTTGCCTTGGGTGCTGAAAGAATCCTCACGCCTTAGTTTCGTTCGAAGCCCCCCCCTTCAATGAAACTAAGGCGCGAGGATTCCTTCAGGACCCAAACGCCGCTTTCCAACCGGAAAAGCTCACCCGGAAGCACTTTCTCGTCAAACAAGATGGCGGCGCCCAGCAAACCGGCGGCCCGGTAGGAAATGTTCCACGGACCGGTACCGGTCCACGGCCCGGTGGTTGGGGACCCCTGCCCTAGACAGCAGATGCCACAAAATGAGGTTGGGATGAATACATCTCTAGCCTGTAAATTCTCCCATCTCTTTTTAAAATTGGCCAGAGGGGACTATTAAAACAGCTTAAGTTGCTAGTAATCTTTGTGATCCCTGTTTCAGTAGCCTTTGGAAATGGGTATTATTTCTGGGGGCTTCCAGGGGGCCTGTACACTAATATGGGTTCCACATTGGTTGTGATGGGCTTGAATCCTGCCAGTCAGAGATCTGTGAGTCAGACAGGTCTGCAATGGAGATTTGCTTACCTAAAGAAAAACATTTAATAAGAGAAATTTCAGCTCCGGTATCCAACAGTTTGCTTAGCATCATTGTGGGTTAAAACAAAATGGGAGAATTTCAATATTCCCGCCCACCCCCATATTGTCAGTCAAGACCCATGCATTTACCAAATCAGGGGGACATCTCTAGAAATTGACTAAAGGGGTGTGTGTCTGAGCTTACATTTTCTTTTTTCGCCCTTTACTGCTGGGACTCACTTTCTTTAAAGGTTCTGTTAATTGTTTCAGTTCATGTGGACCAATGAAAGAAGCTTGTTCTCCTTAACTTTCTTGTCATTTTCCTCTTCTGATCCATGCCTTCCTTATTGAGGTCTTTTTAATGCCTCCACTTGCTTCTTCAAATTCCTAGTAGAATCCCCATCCCATCTCTCCATATTTTCTCCTTAATCTCTCGGCTTTTATCACATTTGCACACACACCATCTCTGTTCTCAACTTTTTGCTCTGGTTGCTTCAAAAATTCCCATTTCTGCGGTCTACCCCTCTCCTTTCCCGCCTGTTTTTTTATACTCCTTCCTCCCCTGCATTCTTTATTTTTATCCTCAACACTCCCAACAGCTTTCTTTGCTTCTCACAAATCTGTTTCCAAAGAGGCTAATGGCTAATGGGTAAGCTGCATTCAATTGTTCAAGGCACTGCAGTCCACCTAGCACACATTTTAAAGATTGATTGCATGTTTGCACTTCTTGCACTGAAATGGAGGCTGTTGGTGGTGATAAAACAAGGACAAAGCAAATAGGTATGACTGGCTGTGCATAAATTTGTTTGTCATCAACTGACTAGACTGTACTGTATGATACTGAAGTGGGTGATTCAAATTGACCAAAGGACTGTTATTTTTACCCAGATAATAGTACCCCTTATCTCTACCATCATACCTTTGGGCAGCACTGTGTAAGTGATCATTGTTAAAGCTTAAGGAAGCATATTTTTTTTAATAGTAGAAGTAGAAGAGTTGAACTCTTTACAATGCTGTTCAGGACTTAATAGTTGCTCATGATAATGACCATTTCCTCTTCATTATTCAAGAAATGTGGTTTTTTTTTAAATGATTGTGAGAAAAAACGGGAAAAATATCCTTATTAAGAGGCAAAATGTAAATACCATTGTTTCAGATTAAGATTAAGCAAGGGATACAGTATAATTTTGTAAAAAGACTAATTGAATCATATACTTAAATCACTACCTGGAAGAACTATTAGGAAAATATTTGGAACTATTCCAAAACGATTTGCTGACAATATTCTTTATCTTTTCAGTTATGACTGCAGTAATCCAATCTTTGGGTCAACAGTGAATCCTTTGAATCCCACCAAAAGCCCTGGTGGATCGTCAGGCGGGGAAGGAGCTCTTATTAAAAGTGGAGGATCCATTCTGGGCATTGGGACAGATATAGCAGGCAGCATTCGTATCCCAAGTGCCTTTTGCGGAATTTGTGGTTTAAAAACCACTAGCAACAGAATTAGGTTGTATACAAACCCTAACCCTTAAAATACAGAGTTTAAAATATGTGGGTTATTTCTCTCAGATTCCTGATCTGATTATACCTGTATATCAGAGTTGCCAAGAATGGGAGAACTAATAATTAATTCAAACAGCAAACATTAATCAGATCACAGACTAGGTAAAATCTTGTTCATTCAACCTTTGTTGAATTGCTTTTTACATTTGCAATCTTATGTCCACTTCAACTGAATTCTGTTTAACATCTGTTTTACCCTGCTGTACCCTAAGCAAAATGTTGTGAACTTGAAATGTTTATCGGTTATGTTTTAATTAGTGAGGTAAGTCTAAGTGCTATTGCTATTGCTAGTCTAATAGGCTTGGCTGGAAACTTGGCTATTTCAGTTCGTATGAACTAACCCTGTTCAACTGGGTAAACCAGAAACGTTCTCAACATGTCATCTGTGTTAAGTGCTGAAATGAGTTCCCCTTTAGAATGTAAAGAAAGAGGAATTGATATTGAAAATTGGGAATCTTGACAGCTTTGCTAAAACTACTCTTTTGATGTTTCTCTAGCAAAAAAGGAATTGTTCCATCCGTGGCTGGTCAGAAAGGAGGTAATATACCATTATTGATTAGATAAAAGGGAAGTTTGTTTCAAGTGGAAAAGTTATTCTTTGACATTCTTGTTCTCTTCAAAAAACAGTTTCATCAATTTACAAAGTAAATTACAGTACAGCTGGCAGTTTTTCAAAAAGTATGAACTCAGCTTAATGACTTAATGCCAGTAACAACCATGCTCTATTACCTGAATGTTTTATTGTCATTTACTCTTTAAAAAGAAAAAGTTTTTGAAACTAGCAATGGGGTATTGTAACAAGAACTTACCGGAAAAGGGTTTGAGAATGTAGCTACGGTAGTTGTTTCCTAGTCTAGGGCCATTATGGCGAACCTATGGCACATGTGCTGGAAATGGCACGTACAGCCATTTCTGCCAGCGTGCAAGAGGTCGCCCGGAAGAGCCCCACTGTGCATGTGCGTGGACCCTCCCACTGCTAGCCAGGTGATTATTGGGTATCTGCCGTGCATGCGTGGGAAAGACGCACATGCATGCGCAGAGGCGTGCAGTGTAGGGATGCGCACGCATGTGTAGAGGGGGTGGGGTGGGTTGCGCGCACAGGGGTGGGATTCAAATTTTAACTGGTTCTGTGGGCGTGGCTTAGATGGTGGGCGTGGCTTGGTGGTCATGTGACTGGGTGGACATGGCTTGGTGGTCATGTTATTGGCTGGGTGTGGCCAACTCAATAATCACATCAAGGCACGCATCTCCTGGCCTGGCCTCTCATGACTGTGGGGATGCTGCAACAGTCGTAAGTGTGAAAAACGGTCATAAGTCACTTTTTTCAGGTCCATTGTAACTTTGAATGGTCACTCCACACAAGCAAAGTACCAGCAAATGAGGGAAAGAAAACTCCAGAGAGGTTCCTGAGACAGGAAGTCTAGTCCTGCCAAGAACGTAATAAGGGTTAACGGAGGGGCAGTTTCTGTAAGCAACACCAGAATGTTTCCTTCCTGCCTTCCTTACAGGATTAGGCCAGTAATTTCTTCTAACAACCGGTTCTAGCGAATAGGTGTGAACTGGTAGAATCCCACCCCTGCGCGCGCACATTGCATCATGGATGCAGGCACACGAGCGTGCTTTTGGCACGCGACATGGAAAAGGTTAGCCATCACTGGTCCAAGGTATTTTTTTATTTATTTAATTGATTTATATGGCTGCCCAACTTGCAAATTGTGACTTCTGGATGACTAACAAAGGATTACAGGGAAGTCCTTAACTAGTGACCATAATTGAGACCCAAATTTTGGTCATAAGTCATTCCAGTCACAGGTTAAACCCACTCCATGGCAAGATTTGATTTTATGACAGTCAATAAGTGAGTCACTGGTTGTTGTGGTGGACCATTCACTTAATTGCAATGATATGCTTAACAACTGTGGCAAAAAGGTCGTAAAATGGGGTAAAACTCTCTTAACAACTGCCTTGCTTAGCAATGGCACTAGATGACACTAGATGACAATGGCACTAGCGATGACACTTAATTCCCTGACGGTAGATGATCTCATCCAGAAAGCTTCATGAAGTCAGGATTTGTGGCTAGATCTGTCCCATCCTGACGACAACTTGAATTGGATCTGGAGAAAGGAGGGGAACCACTACAACACTGGGTATCCTCCACTCCCAGCCCTCAAAGTTGTTCTAAAAGGATACCATGATCAAAGCCATCGAGAGATCAAGGTCTCCCGGTCTGCTCCAGAGATAATATAGAAGTGTGATCAATGACGCTGGTTTAATGGTTCTTTATTCATGTCAGAAGTACCTACAAATTCGAGACATGTAACATTCAATGCTCTGCAAATAAAATAGGTATACAATAGGTCATAGGAATGAAGCACATGTAAAAAGTATGTAGAATAAATAGAATTAAAACTGAATGACATTTGTCCAGTATTGGGCCATGCCGACAGCATTTTCTCTCGCCAGCCTGAGATCTTCATAACTGTTGAGGGATATCAAATGTACCATAGCATATGTGAGATTGGATTATTCTTCTGTATGTGGAATTGACCTTGGGAGACAGGAGAAAGAGCCGTATGCTAGGCAGCGGTTTTCTGATACTATTGTATTGAAAAGTTGCTTTTATGGTGTTATGAAGAGTTCAAATGGAGGTCATCCATTCTGAAAAGTAGGGAATGAGTTGGCTCTTGAGGAGTTAATCACTTTTTGGTGAGCTTCAGTGGTTGAAACCTTCCTCTCAGAATTTCCCGACTCCTAACAGGCTACTCTTTAAATGCCTTCTGTTTACTTGTTTATTTCTTTCAGCTTTTGTTGGCTTGGGACCAATGGCACGGGATGTTGACAGCCTTGCTCTTTGCCTGAAAGCTGTCTTGTGCAAGAAAATGTTCCAACTGGATCCCACGGTGCCACCTCTTTCTTTCAACGAGCAAGTAAGATCATGCACAGAATTTCAAACCAAGAAGAACAGGTTTTGTGAAGAAAACATGGGTGTCCTTGCCACAGCCATTGCCACTCCCTTAAAGAAGCTGTGGCTTTGCCTGGGCTCCTGTGGTAATGGCATCACCTCAGAAAAATAACCCCTCATATGAATTAAAGGGCTGACAAGACAAAGGTATCATCAAGAAAAGGCCTCCATTTTGCCTTTCGGAATCTACTAACAACATGGGCTGTTTCTACGTATAAGCCAGAGGTCCCCAAGCTTGGCAACTTTAAGACTTGTGGACTTGAACTTCCAGAATTCTCCAGCCAGCTATGCTGGCTGGAGAATTCTGGGAGTTGAAGTCCACAAGTCTTAAAGTTGCCAAGTTTGAGGACTCCAGGTATAAGCAGATCTCCAGAAAATGAATATCATGCCATTTTACTTGTGATTGATAGTAGAAATTATATATAAACACTGAGGAATGAAGACTGCTCTCCTTTTTGCATTTCATTGAGAGAAGTGATTATTTTAAAATAAATAAGCATT